GTAAATGTACCATATTTTCTTTATTAATTTTTGGTCGAAGGACATTTAGGTTATTTACAGGTTCTGGCTATGACAAACAATACTGCTATGAACATAGTTGAGCACATAAGCTTATGGTACAATTTAGCATTCTTTGAGTACATGCAAAACTGTGATATTGCTAGGACTTGAAGAAGATTATTTCTTAATTTTCTGAGAAATCGCCATACTGATATTCAAAGGGGATATACCAGTTTGCACTCCCACCAGTAATGCAGGAGTGTTCCCTTTACCCCATATCCTCTCCAGCATAAGTTCTCATCAGTGTTTGTGATCTTGGCCATTCTTATAGGTGCAAGATAGAATCTCAGAGTTGTTTTGATTTGCTTTTGTCAAGTAGAGGTTTTCAAAAGACGACCTAATGATTCTCTGTATATTCTTTATGTCTGCTGTTATTGCCCTCTTTTCATTTCTGTTTTTTTTTTTTTTTTTTTTTTTTTTTTTTTTTTTTTTTGGATTTTTCGAGACAGGGTTTCTCCGTAGCTTTTGGTTCCTGTCCTGGAACTAGCTCTTGTAGACCAGGCTGGCCTCGAACTCACAGAGATCCGCCTGCCTCTGCCTCCCGAGTGCTGGGATTAAAGGCGTGCGCCACCACCGCCCGGCTTCATTTCTGTTTGTTAATTTGGATATTCTCTCTCTGTTTTTTGGTTAGTTTGGATAAATGTCTATTTTGTTGATTTTCTCAATAAACCAACTCTTTGCCTCACTGATTCTTTGGATTGTTTTATTTGTTTCTATTTTATTGATTTCAACTCTCAATTTGATTATTTCCTGACGTTTTGTCTTCCTGCATGAGTTTGCTTCTTTTTCTTCCATAGTTCTCAAATGTTCTGTTAACTCATTATTTGATTCTTCAAAAACCTCTACTCAACAAAATTGGAAAACTTAAAGAAAATTGACAACTTTCTGGATAAATATAATTTACCAAAATTAAATCAAGACCAGATAAGCAAATTAAATAGATCTATAACTGCCAAAGAAGTGGAAACAGTCAACAATCGTCTCCAAATGAAATAAAGTCCAGGACCAAAGGGTTTCAGCACAGAGTTCTACATGACTTTCAATGAGAAATTAATACCAATACTCTTCGAATTGTTCCACACAATAGAAACAGAAGGAACATTGCTAAACTCTTTTTATAAGGCCATAATTACCTTAATACCCAAACCACACAAAGACATTACTAAGAAATAGAATTACAGACCAATTTCACTCATGAACATTGCTGCAAAAATACTCTGTACAATACTGGCAAACAGAATATAAGAACACATCAGAAAAGTCATCCACCATGATCAAGTCAGCTTCATCGCAGAGATGCAGGGATAATTCAGCAAATAAAATTTGTCAATATAATCCACTATATAAACAAACTGGAAGAGAACCCATATGATCATCTCATTGGATGCTGAAAAAGCCTTTGACAAAATACAACATCCCTTCATGATAAAGGTCTTGGAGAGAGCAGGGATACACAGAACATACATAAACATAATATAGGCTGTATACAGCAAACCAATAGCCAACATCAAAGCGATCATACTAAAATCAGGAACAAGACATGGTTGTCCACTGTCTTCATATCTATTAAATATAGTTCTTGATATTCGATCTAGAGAAATAAGAAAACAGAAAATCAAGGGGATAAAAATCAGAAAAGAAAAAGTCAGATTTTCATGATTTGCTGATGATAAGATAGTTTACATAAGCCACACCAAAAATTCTACCAAAAAACTTCTACGAGTCATAAACACCTTCAGTATTGTAGCAGGATACAAGATTAATTCAAACGTATCAGTAGCTCTCCTTTACACTGGTAATAAATGGACTGAGAATGAATTCAGAGAAACATCACCCTTCACAATAGCCACAAATAGTATAAAATATCTTGGAGTAATTCTAACCAAACAAGTGGAAGACCTGTATGACAAGAACTTTATTATTTAGTTTTATTTAACAAAAACTTTAAATCTTTGAAGAAAGAAACTGAAGAAGACACCAGAAAGTGTTCTCGGTACCATGTTCTCAGTAGGTAGAATTGACATAGTAAAAATGGCAATCTTAAAAAAGCAATCTACAGATTCAATGCAATGCACATCAAAATTCCAGCTAAATAATTCACAGACCTCAAAAGAACAAATCTCAACCTCATATCTTGCTCTATTTAATGGTGCTTTTCTTTTTGTCTCTCCTTCCCAAACTCCTTCCCCCACCCCCTCAACAAGAAGCCCACTGCTTTCATGTGAACTCAAAGACATACACTGGATGCACACCCTGTGTTTCCATCTAGACTACCCACAGGAGAAATCATTCATGATAGTTGTTTTTATATTCTGTATGAGTATGCTTTTCTGACACGTAATAATTTAGCCCAATCATAGGTCTAATGTAATGACATTATTGAATAAATTGAATAAATGACGTACCTCTACCCCTCAAGTTTAAAGTGATTTTTTTTGCCCTAATTTTCACAAGTCTATCTTAATAAGAGTGTTTTGTTACTTTTTTTTTTTGGATCATGAATAAACTGACAAGAGATCATTTCCTTCCAATTCAAGCAATGAGTTGAACTTACTGCTAAAGTTTTATAATAAAAACCTTGAGCAAATTGTACTTTCTCTGCTATTGGTGCAGACCAGTGGACTTACCAAGCTTTCCTTCAAGGAAGAAATATATCATCTTTGACTTGACAAGATAAGAGTAAATTTATGTGTTTAAATAATTTAATGTTTTCTTTACTTTAAAATTATTCTTAATACTAAAGTACTCCAGTATAATACTTTAACCAATCTAAAATACTATGTGCCTTATTGTTGTCAAAGCTCTTATTTTATTCTGACTGTTGCTTCTTTACAGTCACATTTCAATGATTTGATGACATCTTTAGGGATGACATGTTTGCAAAAACCTTCACAAGGAAAATAAAAGATGCTTGGAAGCTTCACAGAGCCATTAAAAGGAGATAGCCATATATTTTTAATTTTTCCTCAGGTGGACTTTGTACATTGTGGAAATAACTAGATATTATATTTATTTGTATAATATTTTTATGGTGTTTTTTTTTAAATGAAGGTCAAAGGAGAATTTACTTAGAGGAAAGGCAGGGTTCACAAGACAGTTCAGCCCGTGGCAAGATGGTTCAGTAAGTACAGACGTTCTGCCAAACCTGACCTAAGTTTGATCCCCAAGACTCAAGTGGTAGATGTATAGAACCAACATCCACTCGCTGTCTTCTGGCCTTCACACATGGTAAGCAAGCCACAAGAGATAAATAAAATGCAATTCAATTATATTAAAAGAAAAGTGTGTACATACTAGAAACACAAAGTAATTGCTTAATTTTCACAAAGAAGAGAATATCCATAAGTTAAATTGTATGTTGTAGCATGCAGTTGAGACTGATCAAAAACCCCGTATCATGACTGTTAGTTGCCATGACAGCAGCAGCCTGTTGCCAGGTGCCTTTCTATCAGCTATGTGACATGTGCACCCACCCTTCAAAGTGCCCGACAGGCACAGCTGGCTCTCTTGTGTCTTGTCACTCTTGATTCTTACTCCTCTCTTTCCTCCTCTTTCTTCTCTTTACCTCTTCTTTCCTTTCTTGACTCCTTTTTTCTCTCATGCCTCTTCTTGCCCCCACTCTGGCACGGCCTTTTGCTCTTTGACTCTCTCCATTTCCCCCTCTCCCAATAAACCTCTTGCACTAATGCCATTGTAGGTGGACTGTTTGCTTAGTGGCATATCTTGGCAGGGCCCACCGAAAGGCACCTACTTCATCTTCCCCTTTTATTTACCACCACAGTAACAATAGATACACCCATAAATTTAGGGATGTTGGAATAAATGAAACATTTATACATGACCCATAGTTTTAAGGGCCCTTTTAAATAGTTTAAAAACCATTTAAAGAGGAAGGTTTTGTTGTTGTTCTTAATTTGCTATATCAATATTCAAATTTATTGACTTTCCTTCTTTTGTAAAAGAAATGAAAACAGTACAGGGAGGAAAATGTATGCCAAAATGCCTAACCCTTTGGGTCAGCTCCTATTGCCTCATAAACACAATAAATATTTTCATGAACAAATAGTTTACTGTGCTATTGATGCACTGATACAATCATGTTCCTTATTTAATTCAAGAATAAAGGTAGCCACGACAAGTAGGAGTGATGTATGTCTTCAATCCGAGCGCTCAGGAGACAGAGGCAGAGGGATCTCTGAATTTGAGGCCAGCCTGGTCTATAGAGTAAGTTCTAGAACAGCCTGGGCTGTAAAGAAATTTTTAAAAAGTAAAACCTGTCTTGAAGAATAAAACAAACAAACAAAAATTCCAAATTTTTTGAACTAGTAGAATACCATTGAAAGACGCAATCAGCAAACAGGACTGAGGAACTAAAGTTTCCTTCTGGAATGACAAGTCCTTATTTCTCAAGATGAAAGATAAGTTCTCAGATGTTATAACACTGAGAGTCAAGCAAATGAAAGCAGTATAGATCAAGTATCCCCCAAATTAGCAAGTAATGAAAAATTACTATGAAAGCAGGTCCAGCATCTTAGGAGAACATGTACAATAATGAAACTTGATTGATGCTAACAGACCAAGAAAATTATCATTAAGATGAAGTGTGAACAAATAAAAATTCTAGGATAGGAGCCAGGAAAATCTCATCTGGCTCAAACCACACCAGAAAGGGTGCTTCACATTATTACAGAATTATTTTTTTACCATTTTATAATACAAAATAAACCAAAGCAAAGCAAATGAAACCTGAGTAGAGCTTACAATATCCACTTCAGTTCTCACAATTCCAGTTTGTTTGGTCACGATTGAGACCCTACCAAGTATAAGACCTCATAGAAAACCATGAACATCTACAGTAAAGGATACAATAGCAAGGCATGCTGGCACACACCTAGAATTTCAGCCTTAGGAGACTGAGAAAGGAGGGTTACAAGGAGCAAAGTCAGGACAGGCTAAGTAGGTCTATGCCAGGCGAGGCTACTACTGAGATGTTGTCTCAAAAAAATCAAGGCCTGAGCATGTAGATTTAAAGCAGAACCTAGAACCTGCGAGGGCCCACGTTCATTCCCCAGCACATACTTACTGTGGGAAAAAAAGAGCCCATAACAGTGAAGACAATATTCTCCCCATTATCACAGAACTGATGGGAATCATCCCCTCTGCTCCAGTTAAGAGCTCTAGGCACAGACAAATCCCATTGTACTTTTTCCTTTTACTCATTTTTTTCTTCTTTGTCATCATTGAGAATTTATAACTCATCTCATCCTGGGTGAGTAAATATTTTGCACTCCTGGTCCATGCCTGAAAGAAAGGAGATGATATTAAGTTGGCATTTCAATACGATTTCCACAACGTAAGTCAAAGCATTTCCCGACACACCTCAGGCATTATGCATCCCTTAGATGAGAATACAATCTGAATTATTTCACTTCCTAAGCAAAACAATTCAAAACACACAGGGCCTCAGACTAGACTGGGCAGAACTGCTGTGCAAAGACAGCAGGAGATACAAGAGGTCAGGAGGAGTCAAAGTGAAAATCCACAGTCACCAGAGCCAGCAACATGCCCCCTGGGATATGCTCTCCTGGGAGTCTGACCTCACCTCACCTTGGAGCAAGTTCCTGTGCAAATGAATGATACCTCTGATCCTGCCATAACACTGGAGGGATGTCTCTGGATACGATCCAGAAGGTAGTGAAATCAAAATCATAAATCCCGTGGGTGCTTATCCCCGCTAACAGAGAAAAATAAGAAAGTCTCTGAGTGGTGCAACTGTTTCCATCTGGTCTCTTTATGTGTAACTGATGTAAGAAATTAGTGACTGCCAGAAGTCACTTGGTTTGCAATTACAGTGCTTAATGATATTAGTATAAAGTAGGCAAATGAGCGAGTCCATTCTCTAACAGAAAGCACAGATGAAGGTGAAATCAACTTCTGAGGCACTCGATCACCTATGACATCCTGTCTCATTATCTGAGGTAAAGGAGAGTTCCGACTTAACTTACAAAGCAGATGGAAACTCCCCAAGACCCGCTGACACAGGAGGGAAGGAACCATTGGAGGAACAGCTGATTTTCAGGACAAACCAAAGCAATGGTTTTCTCTCATAGGGTCAAATGGGACATCGACCCATCGGAGCATCAGTCCTCATACAAATTAACCTTTAGTGCTTGCTCCACACCAAAAACAGGCGCACTAAGTATTCATCCAGTTTGTTAGCCTGACCCCAGCAGCTCACGCGTCCATTGGTTCTGACTTCCCTATGAGCCATCAAGGCATCGGAAGAAACTTCATGTTAACCAGATCTTGATTAACTATTTCCATTTAAAAGGAAGCCAGGAAGCCCAAATGCACAGGAGATTTACTAATCTCTGCCCTGAAAAGTGCTCACAAGGAAAGTGTGCTCAAATATAACGAATTTGGATGTTCTTGCAGACCCCAGTACTATAAATGGTCAAACATAGTGATTCTTCTAAAGTACATACAAAATGTAGTTATTTTTGTAGAATTGGTTTAGTCAATAATGTTGGAAAAAATAAAAACCCACAAGACAAGCAACTGTTAAAAAATATTTTATCTGTTGTAGGAACTAGATTTTAGCAGAAAATATATACATTTTATAGATATGATATTTTGAATGACCAAGCTGTCACTGCTGTCTGAGGACTTAATGACATCTCCTTCCCAAAGTCTAAAATTCCTAGTTGTAGTTATAAACAGTCTAGCTAACACTTTATGCCACTGTAGATGCACAGAGTGAACATGAAGATCCTGGCATGTAGTAGGTGATTACAAAAGCCCATTCAGGCCCTTCAAATAATCAGATCTTGTACTTTTAATCTTTGGGTTGATGAAGAAAGTCACAAGTCAAAAGAATGAATCATACAGATTGTAGAGAAATATACAATTGTGGTAGTTTGAAACCTATCAATGAAGTCACACATCATCCATGTACCCATACCTTATATATAACTGCCAGACTTGAAGAAGGTGAAGGTCACAGGAAGTACCCATGTTCTGCAAATTCTTTAGAAAACCAAGCAAGTTTGTTATTGTCCTTTGTTAAAATGCTCTGTATGGCAAATTTTTGCAGTTTAATTGTGCAGCACTTACACATTTTGCTCCTGAAAGTATAGCAAAAAAGCCGGAAGTGCATGTATGCAACCAATCATTTCATTCTGCTGCTCTTCTGGCTGTCTTACCAAAGTTAAGAGTTATTCTGTTGTATTTTCGAACTTAGCAATCACCCTGCTTTGGAGTTTACAGAACACATGCAAGGTAAGAAAATTCAGGTACACATAAGCAAACACAAGTGTAGTTTTAATGCTGAATTATTAAGCTAATACCTGCTAAAACTTTTTTGATTTTGATTTTTGAAAATTTCGTATATCAGCACAATATGTCCACCCCTTCCCTACTTGTATGTCCAATAGTAAGCTTATAAGTATACCCTGAAACCTCTCCAAACACAAATACATAAATAAATCTAATGAAAAAATTATGCATGCTGTTGTACATCATCTTTATTTTATTTATGAAACTAAAAAGTCTCCTATTATTTTCTTTTGAGTTATTAATGGATTAAAATGTTAATAGTTTACATTAACCATGAATTCACATTTATTACATTATAAATAACTATATTATAACTATATTATTAGTGACTATAATTCCTGTGGTTTTGCTAAAATTTCTAACTTGGACACTAATTCAAAGTTATTTTTATCAATCTTTTTTTACTAAGATATTTTCAACTAAATATTTATTTGAAGCATTATAACCATTTTTCAGAGATCTTATAACAAAATCTTTATACTTCTGGAAACCTCCTTTCTTAAAGATTTTATATATATATAAAATAAAAGTATAATATATATATTATACTTTTCAGTTTTTCATTTTTGAGACAGAGTTTCTCTGTGTAACAGACCTAGCTGTCCTGGAACTAGCTCTGTAGACTAGGCAGATCTCAAACTCACAGAGATCCAGCGTGCTGGGATTAAAGGAATGTGCTACCACCACCTAGCTTAGAATTATGTTTTGATATATGCCTTTAGTTAAATGATGGCACAAATAACTCCAGAGAGGGCTTTGGAACAGAAAACCTTGTGAGTTTTTGTTCATTCATTTCTTTGGGTTTTTTTCTTTTTTTTTTTCTTTCATTTTTAGATTATTTTCCCTGAGATCAGGCATATTTATACTCACTGTAAATGAGTGGCTATATGATGAATTAGGATTGTCTTTATGTGAAAGTAAATTTATACATAGTAATAATTCCACCATCAATGAGAAAATTCTGGGGTAAGATTGAGTTACAGCTTAGGTAAGTTACACATACATTTATTTATTGCATCACTAATGGATGGTAATATGAAGACCTTAGTAGTGACCTGGAGAGACAACACACGATTTGTCACCAAGGTGGGGGTCTTTAGTATTATTCGTAGGCCCCACGTGCTGAAATGAAAGAAATGACACCAATAAATTATTGTGAACTCTCTATGTGCACAGGGGCACACGCGCACTTCCACCCTACACAACACACAAAACACACACAAACACACACACAAGTTTAAAAAGCTTCTCAGTTGAAGGGAGAGGAATAACAGCAAAAAAATAATGAAGCATATTTATTAAAATATCATGATGAAACCCATTATTTTATATTTTAGTCTTTGATATTGTATTTCAAAATTAGAAAGAGGGTCTGGGGAGATGATTAAGATGATAAGAACACTTGTTGCTCTTGCAGGGAAACCAGATTTATTTCCTAACACCGTTGCTACAATAAAACAATCTTGCTGTTCCTACAATTTCAAGGTTCCAATGCAAACATTATTAACATAAAATATTAAAAATGAATCAATATTTTTAAAAAGAAAATCTAAGAAACAAAAGCTTAGCTCCATGAAAAATCGCACTGAGATAGATAGAGAGACAACTCAGTCAGTAGTCAGACATCTGTTGTCCGAGTTTGAGGATCTGAATGAGAACCCAGGTGAGGTGACATGTGTTTGCCATCTCAGCACTAGGCAAGGGGTAGACACAGGAAGGTCCCTGTAGACTACAATCCAGTCAGGCTACTGGAACTGGAGAGCTCCAGGATCAGCGACAATCTCTGTTCCAAAATATCAAGTGAGAAGACACCTGTCACGGAGTTTTGTCCTATGTGTACATTCACATGCATGTGTAACCACGGACAGGTGCACCCAAGCTTTTCTAAATATTAACATAAAAATAATAAACTTTTGTTTGGTGTTCATAGCTTGACAAGGAGGGGTGTTTCTGGCATGCTCATTAATAATGTACCCCAATCACATCGTACAGTCACTTTAGAAATCAGTTTGGCGATTTCTCAGAAAATTAGGCAACAACCAACCTCAAGATCCAGGAATATCGCTCTTGGGTATATACCCAAAAGATGCTCAATCATATCACAAAGACATATGCTCAACTATGTTCATAGCAGAATTACTTATAATTGTAAGAATCTGGAAACAACTTTGATGCCCTTCAACAGAAGAATGGAAACAGAAATTGTGGTATATTTACACAATGGAGTACTACACAGCAGTAAAAATGCCATCTTGAAATTTGCAGGCAAATAGATGGATCTAGAAAAAAACATATTGAGTGAGGTAAATCAGACCCAAAAAGACAAATATAATTGTGTATTCATTCATAAGTGGCTTTTAAACATAAAGCAAAGAAAAATCAGCCTACAGATCACAACCCCAGAAAAACTTGACAATGAAAAAGACCCTAAGAGAGACATACATGGATCTGCATAGGAGGTGAACAAGACTCTCCTGAGAAAATTGGCGGCATGGGGATCATGGGAGAGGGTTGAAGAGGAGAGGCAAGGAAGGGAAGGGAGTGGAGAAACATGTACAGCTCAATAAAAACAAGAGAAATAATAAACAAGGATATGCTGTTGCAAAAGAAGGCAGAGTAGTGAGAACCAGTATACACTGAATACTCAAATTTCCATTGACTCATACCACATCTTTAAGCTTCAGTATTGTGCAATGCAGCTTTAGCTAGGCATTAATATTTTGAACTATAAATGTGATCAAAATATAAAGAAGGTGAAGAACTCTTTGTAGGTGAATTTTGAGTATTCTTGGAAGCTAAAATATGCCGGAATCTGTTGTACAATGGAAATTTTTAGCACATAAAAGCTTAAATGCAAAGGGAAGGAAGTGGATGAGAATAAAATACACGTGTGTATGAAAATGTCATAAACCTCTCTGTGTGTGTGTGTGTGTGTGTGTGTGTGTGTGTGTGTGTGTGTGTAAATATATAGAAAAAGAGACAGGGAGAGGAGAGAGAGAACACCAGCTTTGTGTCAGATCTTTTGCTAAGAACTGTGGACCATGGATTCAAAGATTGTTTAAACAAAACCTTCTTTCACTTTGAATATACAAATTTGTTGTGGTGGTTTGAATGAGATATTGTCACAAATTTCAGGCATTTGAATAATTGTCCCCAATGGTGGCTTTTTGTGGAGGATTAGGAGGTGTGGTCCTGCTGAGAGAAACCTAGCACTGTGGGCAGGATTTAAAGTATAAAGACAGTTCCACCGTCTCTGCTTGCTATTTGGGCTTCAAGATGTAAGCTCTCAGCTGCTGCCCCAACTACCAGCCCCCTGCCACCTACTGGGTCTGGGTGGACTCTAAATGTCTTCAACCACAAGCCCTAGATAAACATTTCTTCCTTACACTGTCTCTGCCATAATGTTTCATGGGGCAACAGAAAGGTAACTAACAAATTGCCATTGCAGGACTTGCAAAAGGTGTATGTCTGGATGGGAATAGGTCAGCTGTGAGGCAGGGAGTGGTGAAGAATGACCAAGACACATCTAGAATGTTGCTAGAAAACTCGGGTAGGAAAAATAGAAGTCCTGAGAAACATCTGAGTAAAGGTAAAATATTCAATGAAAGGCTTTCTTTGGAGATTCCTTTCGAAGGACTACCCTCAGTCTCTGGTGAAAGTCATATTTTGACACTTGTTCTGTTGCCTTTCCATAAGCAACTATATTGACAATGACTTAATTATCATCTTAGATGCCAAGTGGATGGCAGTTTCTCTAAAGCTTGATATAGAACAACAGGATAAAACCTGTCTTTGGAGTAATGAAGAAGTGAAGAAAAAGTTCTCTGGAGAACAAAATTGACATAAATATTAGAATATGGGAGCTTGCCAGATGAGGAGAAAAGGAAAATGATTTTAAAATTAGAATTGAGATAACTGGGCAAACACATTCCCCCTTCATTCTAGAGAATATGTCCACAGTTATATTTCTCTTAGGGGACTATTAATTGTAACAAGTCTTTCTCTGACCCACCAACCAACTCCCAAATAATGACATAGCAATTTATTACTAATTAGGAAAGCTCGACCTTCACTTAGATTTGTCCAAGTAGCTCTTATAACTTAAATTAATCCATTTATATTAATTTCCATTTTGTCTCTAGGCTTTTTACCTTTCCTCCTAATCTGTGTGTCTGACCCATTCCATGTCTCCCTCACCCCTAGACTCATCTCTTACTTCCTCTCTTCCTGCCTGAAGTCTCACCTGTACCTCCTGTCTTGCTATTGGCCATTCTGTTCTTTATTAAACACATCACAACAATCTGTCTTCACACAGTGTACACATATCTAGCAATTAATGCCTTTACACTGGAGGTTCACAAAGGGGTAAGATGAGGAATGTGTCCAGCCAGGTAGCTAGGCAGCAACTGGTTTTCAAATACAGGGTTGTATCATAGAAGAATTAGTGGGGAAGGATAAGACTTCCTTGGAGGAAAAGAGGAATTAAGCCATGTTGCCCACCTCTACAGCAAGAACAGTTTCAGTTTTCTGTGACCTCCGTGGTTTATAGAATAGATGAAAATATGGTATTTTTTCTCTGCATTCCTAAGAGCTATCTAGATCCAAACAAAGTAATTCACTCTGCCTTCACCCCATCTCTGGGGCATCATTCTCCCCTCTTAGTGTAGTCTGAAAAACTTTGTCTGTAAACATCCTGAAGGAACACTAAGTCTTTCATGGAAAAAAATGCAGAATGTAAAATAAGGATGCGAGTTAGTGTCATACATTAGTGTCATCCTACTCGGGGCCTTAGAATCTGACTCATAACCAGCAAGCAAACAAATGGATGTCTCCACTCACTCCTAACTTTCATGTACATGAGACATGAATAATGTAGGAGTGTGGCTTCCAGGCTGGCTTGCATTCCCCTTTCCTCATTCCCCAGCACCTCTACAGAATTCGAAGTGCACTGTCATTGTTTTAAGAAAACAAAGTCATCTTTAATGGAGTTTCTGTGACAAAAACCAGCTTTTCTGCTGTGCTAAGTTTTTCAGGACAGCATCATCTGACCTGAGGGTGGGACTGGTTTTGTGATTATGATCTCTGGAATCAATTATAATGTACTAACTTAGTGTGTTTGGCACCCCCACCTCGTAGCCTTTTAGCACCAAATCAGCCGTGAAAAGTCATGCAGTCCTGCAGCCTAGACTTGGTGACCAAGCAGAGTATTTGGCTATTGTGTCCATAACCTAACTTCTAAAAAACAGACATATATTAGGAACACTAAGAAGGGGCTTTTTAAAGTTATTTCTTTTATTTTTGAGATTGCTATTAAATTATATTTCTTTAATCCTTCTCTCTCCTCCTTCAAATGCTTTCCATATATTGACCCCTGTTCTCTTTGAGACTCATGACTTTTTTTCTCATGAACTGTGACTCTGTGTGTGTGCTCTTTGTCTAAAAATTCTGGGTGCCGGGCGGTGGTGGCGCACGCCTTTAATCCCAGCACTCCAGAGGCAGGCGGATCTCTGTGAGTTCGAGACCAGCCTGGGTCTACAAGAGCTAGTTTCAGGAGAGGCTCCAAAACCACAGAGAAACCCTGTCTTGAAAACACCAATAAATAAATAAATAAATAAATAAATAAATAAATAAATAAAAAATAAATAAAATAAAAATTCTGGGTGACTGAGATCCGGTTCTACAAAGTTATTTAGCTATGCTCCCTCACTGACAGCTGAGGTTCAGACACCATGCGAACAACACAGTAAGTATATGGCCCAGAAATTTCATGAACAGCCAACCTGAAAAGAGAAATCAACATTCACGCTGCACTTCACTATGGAGGGGCAATAGCTAAGAGAGAAATTTAGTAAAAATTAACCATAGGTGCTATGACCTCAATATTTGCTCTCCTAAACCATTTTGATGGTAACAAAATATGCTTTGAGATTCTTTGAATAATACAAAGATAAATTTATAAAAACAGATATGCAAGAGATGACTTCTGCTAAAATTTAAAAAAAAACACAAAGGGCAACATTCTTCCTGGAAAATGTGACATTAAAACTGGGTAGCAACATAAGAAATAGAGAGCCTTTAATTTCTGTTAGCAGTGGTTATGCAAGTATTCAGGGTAAATGAAAAGTTAAAACATTTTATTTAAAAATAGTTCATATACTGTATTTGGATAATATTCTTTCCCCTCTCGTAACTCCTCCCAGATCTTTCCTATGTTCCTAACCACCCAAATTCATGTTCTCTTTGTGTGTGTGTCTCTCTCTCTCAAAAAACAAAACACAAAACACACAAGCCAAACCAAAACAAAGAAATCAATAAAACAAAAAAAAGTAATCAAGAAAAAAAAAGAAATAAGAAGCCTACAAACAAAACAAGCAAACAGATCATAGAATGCAGTTTAGTTGTCTAGTTACTCCTGTGCATAGGGTCTCTCTGGCATATGACTCTCTATCAGAGAAAACTGAAGTTCCCTTTTCAAGTTGGTGTCAATTGCAAACAGCTTCTTTTGTTATGGAATTTTGTGTCAACCTCTCCTTTAGAAGTTACTATGCTCTAAGTAGAATGTCTTTGGGTGCTCTTCCTGAGGACTGCACTTTGATTCCAAACACTCACTTTGCTGCTCAAAATCATGCGTAACGCCAGCTCTAAGGAATCTGAGGTCTTCTTCTGGCATCAAAATAGTGCACAGGCATTCATGCAAGGAAAACCCTCATGCATAGAATATAACATTCAATTAAAATAAAGAAACTGATAGAGGTATGTATGTGTGTGTGTATGTGTATGTTTACACAGTGTGTGTTTGCACATGTATGTGTGTGTGTGTGTGTGTGTGTGTGTGTGTGTGTGTTGGACTGTATGTATAGGTTCAGAGGCACACAATGAAGATGTAGATCCACTGAAGGGAAAAAGCACAGCAGACAAGGCCGATCTGTCATTAACTTTGTTGTTTCCGTTTACTCCTGTAACATGATTTCTTGTCTAGCAGTGAATAGATTATATTCTACATGAAGTGACATTTCCCATGTGACAGTTCACCCTGTATAACAGAGTAGGGATCTGAATGTTATTATTTTGGCACAAATTAAAAGATGGCTGGTCTAGAGATACAGCTCAATATCTAGAGTGCTTTCATGGCAAACTCCAGATCCCATGTAAATCCTGAGTAGGACAATGGACATTTTTAATCCTGACACTGGAAGACAGAGACCGGAAGTACTCTGAAGCTCACTGTACAGCCAGCCAAATTGATTCAGTGAGATTCATAGATGTTTCAGATTCATAGAGACCATGTATCAAAATAAAGATGGATAGTTACTGAAAGTGGCACCTGATACTTACCTCAGCTTTCCATATCCACACAAATATATGTGTATACATGTATCAGCACACATATAGAATACACTAGAAGAAGAAAAAGAGTGACAGCTTAAGAACATTTTTGGAAAAATGAATTTCACAGAAAAGAGTGCTTGCATTGTCATATGAAAAATTAGTAAAATTAATTCAGAACGAAAGGATCAAAGCCAGACAGAAAGGAGACTATAAGCAGGGGATTACATTCTTTGAATCTAAGACTGAACAGAGAAAATGCCAATCAGTATTTCCAGCACAGAGATGAAGTAAGGGAGGGTGCAGAAGAGCTAGTCCAGGCATGTAGGGCACTGTAGGGTGTGAGGCCAATGCACTCGGTTCACTAAAGGAACGCACAACCTTAGTAGAGCTCTATCAAGAGCTGTGAACACGGAGGCTAATGGAAGAGATGAACATTGATGCAGATCTGTGAGAAGCTTCCTTTCCCTACAAGATGAACTTATAGACAGGATATCTGAGAAGGCATATTCATTAGATTAGTAAAGATACTCTTATAATAATATAGGTAAGAGAACCTACCTAGTTGGAGTAAGACAATGTTAGCATAGATGCAAACATATAATAAATATACACATATATTATGATATATAATGTATAAATACATGTTTGCAATATATATTATATATAAGTATGGTATGCATGCATATACATATATAAATATATGGTAAAACTGTATATGTATGGCTAAAATCTGCTGATTTTATTGAGCGATCAGATGGGTGTTAACTGAGATATAGGAAATCATTGTACTCCTAACTGAGTGAATGTCAATGGCACTTAGTAGGAGAAATGAAGCACGGATTCCATTCCTTACCAGTCAGGAATGTGCAATGCGGGGATTCTCGAGCCTCCTCGGTCATATACTCTTGCTTGCATTCAAACTCTTTTGCCATTTTAGCGAAAGCATGAAATAGTGATAGCATGCCATGAAGCAGGGCCATGAAAGAAGCACAGTGAAATCTGGGTGCCCTACATTGACCACAGTCACAGCGTGAATACAGCTTGTTGATGGACTCCCCACAACTGATTCAGCAGCATCCCTAAAAGTGAGATGCAGGCAAGTGTGGCCTCTCTAGTTCTTCTGAGATGTGGGATGTTTTTCTTCTCTTCTAAAACTTAACTTCTGAGATTAACAATAAAATAAATTAAGTTTATCAATTTTGAACTACTAATACTGTCCAAAATCTTGCCATTAACTCATATATGGGACAACTGAGGCCCAGAGAGCAGACTATGTAACCACACCCATGCCACACTGCAGTGGGGATTTTCTTTGGGCTCCCAAATAAAGACAAGGAGATTTATTATTAGTTACAAATGCATGACATTCGCTTAGACTTGTCTCACTAACTCTCTTGACTTAATTTAACCTGTTTCTATTTATCTATGTTTTGCCTCAGGACTTTTCAACCTTTCTTTGATTGTGTATGTTCTTCTTTCCTGCCTCCTCTGTGTCTGGCTGGGTGCCCCCTGGTGTCTTCCTAGCATCTGTTTTTCTCTTTTTTCCTTGAGCTCAAATTTTTTTCCTACTTCTTTTCTCTGCTCAGAACTCCAAATTATAACTCCTCCCTCACTATTGGACATTTAGCTTTTTATCAGACCTATCAGGTGACATAGGTAGGCAAGATGAATCAGCAACATTTTTTTACATAGCTAAACAAGAATGGCAGTCATTATTTAGTTAAACAAATATTCCACAACATAAACAACACATCTTTGCATAGTTAAACAAATATTTTTGCAACAGCACATCCTTCTACAGTTTACTTTACCTGAGACAATCATACTCACACATTTCCATTCTCTTTAAAGGATTTTCTAGTGGCTTCTTAACTTTTTCACAGTTTGGCAGATTCAGTATTATCATGGGAAAGAGCCAAATGTAGTATCTCACCATCTAAGTTTACCCCAAACTGCTATCTTCTTTCCCAAACTATTTTTTTTCAGAATTTTTTTCTTATTCTCATTTTTGATATCAATAACACAAAGTTGTTTATTCATTTGTGAAAAAGTTTCACCCCAAAGAACCTAAACATTTAAACATGATTAAAGATAGAAACTATGAGAAGACTGTAAATGATCTACTGTTTGATTCAGATAAAACAAGCAAGCAAAACAAAACAAAATAAAAAAAATACGTGACAGGGTGCTGAAGAGATGACTCAGTACTTATGAGCTCTTTATCTTCTTGTAGGGAATCTAGGTTCAGTTCCTAGCACCCACTTATCAGCTCACAGCTATCTGTAACTCTAGTTCCAGGAGATCTGACATCCTCTTCTAGCATATGGAAGCATCTGTGTGTTTATAGAACAGATACATACGTGGAGGGAAAATAACATAATGGGCTTCTTGCTTAAACACATGTCTTGAAGAGTATAATAATAAACAATAATAACTATGTATCAGAAAAATGGTACCCTTGTAAGATATGTAAGTTTAGAGTGTCAAGAAGTCAAGAAAAGAAAGACTAGATAGTTGGATAGCAAGCCTCACCCACTACACCACACACACACACACACACACACACACACACACACACACACACTCATAGAGAGAGCGGGGGAAGAGAGAGAGAATGTATTTGAAGCTGGGCAAGGCTTGGCTGGGGTTGAGGAAGACAATCAGACTGCCTGTGAATCTGCATTAATTATGTTTGCCTGAATTGCTTGACTTAAAACAAAATGCAAAAAATCTCTGATCTTGAGTTTCCTCATCCTTATAAAGAAGAGGAAGAATAACTGAACTTGCTTACTAGTAGTCGTGAGAGAATTGAGCAATCAAATGTAGAACAGTTTTAGATTATTGTTGTCTTAGAGAATTGCAATATAAATTTTAAGTGTGCTGAAAAGGATGATGAATATGTAAAATAAAAAGCTAAAAAGTATTGGAAAGACCTTGCTAATCCTCTGTAGGTAGAGGTCATTTGCTACTGTACTGTTAGAAAATAAGACTTCATCATACATTGCAGCTAAAGAAAACCAGGTTTATAATAGTATCCCGAGCAGTCCTTGGTTTATTTTCTGCAAAGAATGAATAATTTCTACTTAGGCAGACAATGTCTTCTACTCACGTCTCCCTTTATTTTTAGTTAACTAATCAACTGAATAACCTAAAATACAGACCATAAAATATGTGTATTTGTCTTAGTTACTCTTCTGTTTCTATGAAGAGACACCGAGACCAAGGCAACTTGTAAAATAAAGCTTTTAATTGAGGGCTTGCTTACGGGATCATATGGCTGATCCATTATCATGATAGAAAGCAGAGCAGCATTCTGCTATGATGCTGGAGAAGTAGTTGCTATCTCTTAAATCCATATCAGGCAGAAGAGAGAGAGAGGGAGAGATAAAGGGGAGGGTGAAATGAGAGAGAGGGAGGGGAAAAGGGAGGGAAGAAGGGAGGGAGGGATGAAGGGAAGAAGGGAGAGAGGAAAAGAAAGAGAAAGGAGAGAGAGACAGAGAGAAAGAGAGAGAAATTAGGCAATTGGTCTAGACCTGTATTTTTTAAACATGAAAACCTATCCCCAGAGGCACACCTTCTCCAAAAAAGACATAACTTCTCCAACCCTTCTTAGTTTAACACCTATTCTCCAACACCTCCTAGTCCTTCTAAAAAGTTCATCATCATATAGGGTCTAAGCATGCAAATATAAAAACCTATGAGAGCAATTATCATTCAAACTATCACACTACTACAGCAATCAATTGAATAAAGACTGTATAAATCATTATACATCATATAGATGTTTAGCTTTTTTTCTTTAATTTTATTAACATAACATGTTGATTGGCATGAAAGAAATAGCATAAGACAACTAATTTCATACCATGTACTGCCATGAATGGATATGGAATACTTAGATAGCAGAGTTGTTGACTGAAATTTTATGAACTCTGACAAAAAGCTCAAGGGGTTGGAGAGAGAGTTTAATACCTAAGAGCATATACTCAATATAGTGGACCCAGGTTCAGTTTCTGGCACCAATATCAGGATAACAACCTCTTAACAGGTCCAGTTCCTGAGACTCCAAACCTCTGTGGCCTCTGTGGGTGCCTGCATATTCTTGGTGCACATAAACCCATTCAGGCACATACATATACATAAATAAGTTAAAATAATAAATAGTTCAAACTTCATTTTGAAATTTATCTGTATTATCTTGGCAGTGTTATTAGGTGCCTCTAATCATCTATATTTGAAAAATATACAAATTATCAGGGTTTTAAAAATATGTAGTAAAACAGATACTATGTATTATCAATTGTCCATGTGGAGGTTAAAAAATGTCTTCATAGTCAACACACATGAGCATCTGTCATATGAAGTAGCAAAAACTTCTTTTTCTTTACATGGTCAACTATTAAAAAAAGAATACTTTGAGGACACACATACAGTGAACAATCTCTCAGTTAGGAGTCAGGAGCTCTGTATTTTATTTAATTTTATTTCCAAGCTTTGATACTTCTTTACTTAGTAGAAATCATAAAATACAGGAATCTTGCACCAAAATGTTTTTTTTGTTTTTTTTTTGTTTTTTTTTTTTTTTAACTAGCATTTTCTGGTGTCATCCTAAGAGGTCTGAATACCACAGAACGGATTTTATGTCTACATAATAAGCCAGTGACTGGCCAGTGTAATGATTCCTAACATCCAGTGTTTGAAACTATTTAAAAACAGACCTATCAATTTTATATGACCCAATAATTGGTTACAAAATGGTATATAATGAAGGAAGTCAGAGGAGGTAGGAGGAAAGGTGAGTTCTCTATTTGTAATTGCTTCTTGAATCTTGAGTCTATGCCAAATTTCCAATTTTCCATCAGAAAAAAAAAAATAAGTTAGGAGAGTTTGTTCTGTGTATATATTGCTCAAAAACAAATGCTTTTTTGTCCTTAACGACAACAACAATAAAAATATGTGTCCAGTCAATGGCTGTCAGCTACCTTCAGGCAATGTAGTTAAGGCATGCTGTTGCTTTCACGTTTGCAGCTTCATGCATTTTAATTAGGGATGCTTACAAGCCCAGTTCCTC